GACTGCACCAGCTCCTCCTTCGACGGGTGAGTGGGGCTGGGCCAGCCGCATTCCTCGGGGTGTCTGGGGACGCCGTGGTGGCCCTGCCTGTCCCCTCACTCCCATCCCTCCCGCAGGATCATCGCGATGATGAGCCCTGAGGACAGCTGGGTCTCCAAGTGGCAGCGAATCAGTGAGTGGTTTTTCCCAGATGGTTTGGGAGCCGGAGATCCCTTTCTCCAGCAAAATCTTCTCTGGGGCCATGGGAGCTGCTGTTTGGGCTGTGGTGTGGTTCTGCCGCCGATGAGGGGGCATCTGCGCAGACGGTGGCTGGCAGGGCTGCCTGCGCACCCGGCTGCTGCTGTGCGGGATAACTCAGTGTTTTCTTTCTCCCAGGTAACTTCAAGCCGGGTGTCTACGCAGTGTCTGTGACCGGCCGCCTGCCCCAAGGTAACGCTGCCAGCTTGTGCTAAGGGGAGGCTCCCACACGTGGCAGCTGAGGGATTTTTCTGGACACTAAGTGTTGAGGCTGTAGCCAACTCCAAGGTGACAAATTGGGTGGCGCATTGCGCTGTACCTATGTGATGAAATCAGGATTTGGGTGCTCAGTGAACGCTGTGTATTGTGAGCAGAGCACACGCCATGTCGGTGAAGGGATTAGCAAGGTGCAAGAAGGAGATGCTGAACGGGAGGGTGGTTTCAGGGTTCTGCGGACAGGTTTTCTACCTGCAGTCATTCAAGCGCTATGCCTGCCAGAAGTTGATATTGAAGATGCTGCTGTCTAAAACCTGTGATACCAGGCAGGCTGTCTGAGGGATGAATTGTGATTAAAGGGTGACTCCAGAAAGTGGGTGCATTTTCAAACTGCTCAGCTACAGGGGAACATAAAGGTTTGTCCTTAAAAAAGAGTTTTGCAGGATGTTATCTCAATCTCGGTGAGCAGATACTCCTTTCCATCATACTGCACCAAGGGCTTGCATTAAGGTGGTTTTGTGCATTTATAAATGGAGTGGAGCGTGTAGAGGTTGGCCTTATCTCTGTAATGCAGAAACTGCATCATTTGTCTAGCTGAGAGCTCCTGCCCTGTGTGTAGCCTCAGAGCAGGCTCCTAACCTGTGCCCCTGCCCACAAATGCTGCAATCCCGTATCCCCAGGGTGAAAGCTGTGTTTGTGTCTGGAGTCCCAGGCTCCTTATTTCTGACCCGAGCTCCACCATCTGCATTGGGAGGGAGCTGGAACTTCACAAGGCTTGAAGCCAAGGTCTGCTGGCACAGCTTTAGGCACATCCAAAATACCCAGGATGCAGCAGATGATGGTGTGAGCTCAGTGCAGCTGCAGGCAGGGAGCGCAGAGCAGCAGGCGGAGGGAGTACAGGTGGGAGCTGTTGTCTTTGGCCTCTCTCAGTCCATCGTTGCATCATGGGGAGGACTGAGAGGACTGGGGAGTGTGGTAACCAGCAGTCTGCACTCCTGGGCCTTGCAAGCTGTCATTTGGCTGTCCCTTGGTGCGTGGCGCTGGTGAGAGCCATGCTGAAGCCCATGGTGCTCTTCTGCTATCCCTGTTCTTAAAGGGTTACTGTGAAGGTAGAAAATGCAGGCAGGTCACAGAAGTGACTGAAAGATTTAAGAATTACCCTTAAGAGCTTGACCTGTCCAGTATAGTCATAACATTCAAACATTTTCAGGTAGGAAATAATGTAAATAAAATCTACCTGGTTCTTTCCCAAGGAGTTCTATTTAGGCATTTAAACTAGAAGAGGGAACACTCTTAACAGTTCTATTAGGTTGTTCTACGATTGTCCAGTTCTTGATCTCTGCAATGAAGGCTACATGACAGAGCAACCAGATTTTTTCAGGTCTCCTCATCCCTAGAGAATACTGAAGTGTGTTTGTCTCCTTGCTGCAGGGATCGTCCGAGAGCTGAAGAGCCGTGGTGTGGCTTACAAGTCCCGAGACACAGCTATAAAAACCTAAGGGCTGCCTGTGCTGCCTGGAGGATTCCCCAGTGCTGCGTTCGGAGAGGCACGTGGGGCACCGCTCTGAAACCTTTTATCTTTAGCGTGTGGGAAAGCAATCCTGGACTCAGAGGGAGCTTGCTGGCATGGCTCCTCTTGCTCAGTATCTCTGGACTCTGGCCATACAACAGTCTGCCCACACAGACTGTAGACATTTTTTTGAGCCTTGACAAGGGGGAGGATATGAGTAGGTCTGGGAAAGAGGTGTTTAATAGTGGTGCACAAGCTTTTTACAGTTGGTGTAGAAAAGAGGAGAGCTGGGATATAGCTGTGTAAATACTTCAAATAAAACATACTGCCTGGTTAGAGTTGAGTCCATATCTGTTCTCAGTCACTAGTTTCACCCGCAGCAGTGAGCGGGTGGTGTGGTGAGGGGTTTCGCGCTCAGCCCCCCTGCCTGCCAGACTGTTTGGAGCCTACGATTGCCATCGCTTCATATGCCATAGGCTGCGTTCCTCCCTTGAGAGGGAGATCCTACCCTGGCTGAATTGGGGTGTCCGCTGTAGGAACAAGCAGAGTTGTTTGTCTGAACAAAACAGAGCGATTTGTGCCATACAGCTCATGGCTGGATGGAGTAGGTAAGAGGACCTTAAGTTTTTCATGTGGAGGTAGTTACCTGGGGGTCACGGTGCCCTGGGCCTGCAGGGTCCTGTACAAGGGACAGGCCTGAGGGACCTTCATTGGCCGTTGCTGGCCTCCGGGGCAGGCAGAGCCAGATGAGCCCTTTGCTGGTGTGGTTGGGAGGCAGCAGCGGGTCCTGCAGAGGGGAGGGATGGACAAGCAGGGGTGGAAACAGCTATCCAGCCTCATATTCATCCTCATCAGCCTCATCCTCGCCAGGTCCTGCACTTGGGTCACAACAACCCCATGCAACGCTACAGGCTTGGGGAGGAGTGGCTGGAGAGCTGCCCGGCGGAAAAGGACCTGGGGATGCTGGTCGACAGCCGGATGGACGTGAGCCAGCAGTGTGCCCAGGTGGCCAAGAAGGCAAACAGCGTCCTGGCCTGTATCAGCAATAGTGTGGCCAGCAGGAGCAGGGCAGTGATCGTGCCCCTGTATGCAGCACTGGTGAGGCCGCACCTCGAATCCTGTGTTCAGTTTTGGGTCCCTGACTACAAGAAGGACATTGAGGTGCTGGAGTGTGTCCAGAGAAGGGCAACGGAGCTGGGGAGGGGTCTGGAGAACAAGTCTGATGAGGAGCAGCTGAGGGAACTGGGGGCATTCAGTCTGGAGAAGAGGAGGCTGAGGGGAGACCTTATCACTCTCTACAACTACCTGAAAGGGGGTTGTGGTGAGGTGGGTGCTGGTCTCTTCTCCCGAGTAACAAGTGATAGGATGAGAGGAAATGGCCTCAAGTTGTGCCAGGGGAGGTTTAGACTGGATAGTAGGAAAAATTTCTTTCCTGAAAGAGTGGTCAGGCATTGGCACAGGCTGCCCAGGAAGGTGGTGGAGTCACCATCACTGGAAGTGTTCAAGAAAACATGTGGATGTGGCACTTGGGGACACGGTTCAGTGGACATGGTGGTGTTGGGTTGACGGTTGGACTTGATGATCTTAAAGGTCTTAAGGTTTTCCAACCTTAATGATTCTGTGATTATATTTGTAGAGGTCTGGCTGTTTTGAGCATCAGTGTGGATAGTGTCTGCACTGCATGGGCTCCTGAGAGATGTGGTCTCCTTACCTGATGGCTCTTGCTTAATTTGTTTTGTTCCAGTTCAGCAGCAGCCACCGATCACAAAGATGGCTTGTACAAGGGCAGGGTCCTAGATCAGTAGCTCTGTGAAATAAACTTTTTTTTTTTTTCTGAGCTAATCCTGTAGCTGGAAAGCGCAGTTTTTATTTTCTGTAGACAAATAGTGGAAAACCAATACAGTCTGTAAACTGCATTTGGTCCAGGAGGAAAGCGGCTGCAGCAAAGTGAATGTGTTGCTGTTGGGGAGTGGTGCTGTTAGGAGTGCAGGGTGCTCTCTGTCCTGCTCTGGTTTGTAGAGCTGGCCCCAAAAAAGTCCAAAGTGCTACAGGTGAGCCAGAGCATGGCTTCCTGTGGGGTTTTGGAGCAGATGTGTGGCTGGAGAAGACTGCCGTGAGCACAGGGGGGCTGTGTGTGGGGCTGCAGCATGAGTCAAGACGAAACACTGCAGAGAAAGATGTCTTAAACCACACTTCTCTTGAGGACTTGGAGACATGATGCTGAAGTCAAGAGCATTTGCTCGGTGCAGACCAGGACCAGGTGAAGTTGGTGGTGAGCTCTGGGCTCCAGCAGGTGCCTCCAGGTGCAGATTGCCTTCTGTGGGAAGAACTGAGAGTGCTTTGGCCCCTGGCCTGGGGGTTAGAGCCTCCTCTTGGGCAGATGGAGCAGAAGTTCATGTCCTCTGGCAGAGGAGGAGTTGACCGCGATTTTCACACATCCCTGGTGAATGTCCAGAGCACCTGAGTTACCTGATAATTATCCTCCAGGCTTATCTGGTTGCAGAGTCTGGGCAGGAGATGTACCTTGGCACTGCCTGGTAGGTCAGGTCTGTGGGAGAGAGGTGCAACTGTCCTGGCAGCCCAGGGCATGACTCCACAGGCTGCTCAGGTTTAGACATTTTGGGCATGGACCTCTGGGCCCTGGAGGGCAGTTTCAGACTGGCTGTGCTGTGAGAGACATGGGGTGAGCTGGGATCCTGCCGGCGGGTGTTCATCCCCTGCAGAATGCTCCAGGAAAGCCACAGCCAGTGCTGTCTGGGCAGCCGTGCGAGGTTGACAAGAGCTGACGAGGTTCAGAATGAAAGGGGTCAAGGACGAGGAGATGGGCGGCTCTTTCTCCAGCTGGAGGGAGATGGGTCTGGGGAGTGAGGTTTTGGCTCCAGCCAGCTTGGAAGGATGTTGGGGATGATAGAGATCAACCACTCTGGCCATGCCCAGCCCTCAAAGCCTCACCCTTCCAGTGCCACGGGGTGGCAGCACGGCTTTGTGGAGCGGGGCTGGAGCCGGGTGATGGGCTGGGGTGAAGCTGCTGGAGATGGACCTGGGGAAGAGAGACCTGAGGCACGTCTCCATTTTCCACTGTATTTCACAATGCCTGTCGCTCCCTACTAGCTTCCCAGGTTGTGTCCCCTTCCCTGGCTCCAGGAATAGGGCTGGCCATGCTGGAGCTGCTCCAGTGCTTGGAGGCACGTCAGGACCCCTTCCCCCGTCCCTGGCCACCTTGTCCCCCATGGTGCAGAGGAGGTGACAAGAGGGGTCTGCTCAGGACCCCGTGCAGGGTGGGCTTGTTTGGCTGGGCTCCGGGTGCGGGTCCGCAGGCACGGCGCTTCACGTCTCCCTTCCTGGGAAGCCTCAGTCTTGCAGGAACACACTCAGTGCCCAGGGCTGGGAACTTTGCTTAGGGCATTGTCCCCGGGGAGCAGTGTGCATTGTCACTGTGCCTCTTGGGGAAGGCGAGGGGGCTTGTAAACCCCGCAGGGGCCTCACCCTTGCTAGGAAGCACAACCGCTCCAGGTTAGACTGAGCTAAGACTGGTGGGGGCTGCAGTGCAAGTGCAATAGAGCCAGAACAGCGAGGCAAACCGGCTGCACGCCGGTGGTCTGTCAGAGCAAGCTGCCCCTCCTCTGCCTGCAGCAGCTTCCGAGAACCTGGTGCCTCTAACGGGGCTGGCTCAGTGAGCCTCCTCCCCGTGAGCCTGCTTGCTCGCCCACAACGCATCCCCCAGCCCACGCTGCCCAAGTGATTCATTGCTCCCGGGCTGCGGGGCTGAGCGTTGGACCTCTGCAAAGCACCTGAAACAGGCATTTCAGCTAGACTCCAGCCCCAGAGCTGCCAGGGTTTTGTAGCAGCAAAAACCAAATGGACGCGGAGCTTTATTTGCTGAGAAAAGTAGGGCAGGGAGCTCTCACGTTGAAGAAATCGGAGGAAAAATGTGCAGTGGCAGCCTGGGCTGTAATCGGGAGAGAAAGCGTCAACCGGGCAGGGAGCTGTAGATCTGAGTCAATTTAAGATGGCTCCTCCCCCTGCACCAAATGATGCTAAAATATTTCAGCCAGAGCTGAAAATCCTGCAGGTTTGGCACCCGAAGAAGCCTGGTAGCTCTTGGGC